AGCTTCGTACACGTCTAGATACGTGAGACACTCGTATTTATACCCCCATGAACTTGCTCTCACCAAGGCATGTGGTACAACACGGTGACTCAACGCATCCAGACATGCGCAGAGCGTAATGGGGCCAGAGTGCTCAAACGACCACCAGGGAAGTGAGCTTCGCATTATCGCTAATAGACACCCATTAACAACTCCGCAGAGTGCTCAACAACACCGAAATGAAGGAGCGTAATAGTACAATCTGCAGACATGCATGTTTCGGCGTTCAACGCCTCGTCAGTGCAGCTTGGTACACGCCTAGATACGTGAGACACTCGTATTTATACCCCATGAACTTGCTCTCACCAAGGCATGTGGTACAACACGGTGACTCAACGCATCCAGACATGCGCAGAGCGTAATGGGGCCAGAGTGCTCAAACGACCACAAGGGAAGCGAGCTTTGCATTATCGCTATATATATATATATATATATATATATATATATATATATATATATATATATATATATATATATATATATATATATATATATATATATATATATACACGATTGAGCGCGGCAAAAAAACGTGGGAAATTGTTATCTCTTTTTGGAGAAACATTTCCTCGAGAATTTTCACAAAAAAATTCATTGTTTTAATCAACCAAGAGTTCAAACTTATACTCGCGAGTCAACGAGATTTTTCTGTGTTTCCCATAAAGTTCGCCGGAAAAGTTTGAGAAAAATACACTTCTAAAACAGCAAATCTGGTGAACTGGATCCTCATGGCTACATTAAAATTTGTATAGTTTCCAGGACATTAGGTAATACCACTGTGAGTGCAGAACGAATGAAAAATTCAAGTAAGAAAAACATAAACAGATCGAGGACCCGTGCTCAATCGAGTTACCGTGCTCAATCAAGTTATCGAGCTCTTGGAATGTTGGGAGAGCACTAGTCAAGCACTAGGGGTAGTCTGGGCTACCGCCTCGACCAACTCTTACGTTATCGTGCTCTCCCAACTTCCCGCCTGCTCAATAGCGAACTTAAGCAAAGCTTAATCTAGTACGGGGACGTGTCAAGAAACCGCCTTAAATTTTACACTTTCATAATTATAAAGAACCACCGTTATTAAGAACTTCAACAAAGCAGAACAAAAGTGCAACGAGAACGGCCAATAATATTATATGAATGCAAGAAAATGGGCAGAAATTAATAATTAAAATTTCAAGGACGTTTTAGACGTCGGCGTAGCTCTGTTTTACAACGGCGAAATACAGAATATCGCGTCTTGTATACAACGCTTGCATTTCAAGCTGAAACAACTGTTATTTTAAATTGGGTCCTAGAACTTTTCTCAGTCATAAACCCAGTGTTAATTTTGATCCTTAAAAAGTATTATTTTCATACGATGGATAATAGACGACAGGTTTTCTTCCGCAATCATTTGGTTCAGCGAGTTTGTTTGCCGTCGCGTTCCCGTCCTAGATGCTTAAGCTCGCTAATAACTCCACTGAGCACGCCAAATCATGAAAAAGTCTTAATTTTACGCTGGGTTTCAATTTTCCGACATTTACAGATTTGACAGACACGTGCAGAAACGAAAGCGAAGTTTGGACGGTTGACGACTGTAAGGAATGCCGGTGTTGGAAAGGAAAAGTCTGGTGTGACGTCATCATTGTTTGATGACATAGGCTGCAGTAATTATCGTAAAGTTCCTGGAACATGTTGCCACTATGTTTGTTTAGGTAAGTGTATATTACCTCTATTTAAACTCGCGTGATATTAATTTCTCCCTAAAATGCGATATTAATTTTTGCGCAGTTCACTAATTTAGCGCATCTTGAACCGGAACAAAACTAGAAAATCATACTTAAATTATATTTTTTCTGATTAATTAATGACATTGAACTGATAAGTTTTCACCAAAAGTAGTGCTAAAAGTAGAGCGAAAAATGATCCCAACATTATAATTATGTGTTTCTGTCTTCAAGCATCAATTGATTTTATATTGTATTTATTCGCCAAAAATATTCCAAAATGACGAGCTCAAATTTAGCTTTTCCTGCCCTCCTGTACCAAAAACACGGAGAAAAGTAGTAAAAATATTGGCACTAAAGGCTATTTTCATTGTTACTAAGTGCAAGAGGGCGCGAATTTTGAAATAAACACGCAACAGAAATGAAGCTATGCATTTTACGCTTGTTTTTAAAAAATGCGACTATAGCCTTAATTAATAGCATCTAGAGTTGCATACCAAAAATAGCAGCTAAAAAAGAAAAAAACGTTTTAAACAACTTGGCCTGCCTGTTACTGGCATGGCCCTTATTGCCTTTGCAATTCCTTTGAACTTGCATTATGTTTACTTTGCAATAATTATTTTGTACAGTTTTGAATGCCAGTTTCGTACGTAGTCGTGCACTTGTTTACTTTAGACCGCGAATGACCTAAAATAGCTAGGAACAGTCCTATTATCCTATATAGATTCATTGTTAAGTTATCAGTTAAATTTGAAAATCTGAAAATTGAATGCGAGCAGATTAAAGCCAGGTTGTGGTTTCACTTTTACGCTCCTCTTTTGAAATTACTAGTATTTGTTGTAACTTGATCTTGCTGAAACCAACCATGCTGTACATTCAGTTCAATGCTATTGCAGCAGAAATTTTTTAGATACTTTTATAATGGACTATTTACAGGGATACTTTTTAATTTTTAATCTTTTAATATATTATTCAAAACACCGCGGGAAAAAACGTCTGCGTATGCGTCACCCTTACTGAAATTTGCCTTGCGAACGTGGTGTTTGGTGTCAAGTGTTCCGAAGGTTGTCAAAAACTCAAAATGGGATCGGAGGGACTTCAATATTTTGCCTTTTCTATGAAAATGCAAGCGGAATAATGAATGTGACAACCCCCAAACTAGAAATAATTACCGTCTACGGTACATGTGCAAGAAGTATGCAAGAAAATGAACCAAAGGTGACTGTCGATAAATTTATTGTATAAAACGTTCTTTAACAGAACCATACAAAGATATTTTTCGTAGATTCATATGATCCGCATTTTTTTCAATAACTTTTTTGCGTACCATGTATAATTTTTGCGTTGACAATATTAAAGGTAATTATTTACTCCACAATTTAATCGTGTGCAAATGCTTAACTACTTGATAGTTTTCTTAACTTTTGTGTTTTAAGTTTTCAAGAAATATTCACGCCTCCCGGTCTAAAACGATTTAAATTCTTTTCAGATTTTAAATGTTAGAAAACTTTTTATTAATGTCTAAACTAGATAATAGGACATATAGTCCCTTACAAGATCCGTCTCCCAAATTGGCATTTAAATTCCTCGCCGTTTTTTCTAGACACGCGCATGCGCAGATTTTTTCCGTGGTGTTATTATTCAATGTTATGCTAACCTGATGTTCAGGCCCTAATTTGAAATAGGGCCTGACACAAAACCTGTCTAGACCGTGGGACGCCCACATGTTATTTTTAGACACAACATGCAATATGATTGACAAGTGTTATAGATTTCGTTACACAAAAAAAATTATATTCTCATTAAAATGTCCGCAGAGTGTGCATTTTGCTTTATAATTAAACTTAATTAAAATTCAAGGTACTTTTATATAAATAAGATTCAGACAAAGATTTAATTAGTCAGTTCTGTGCACGGCTAGACTGCCAAGCTTTCTCAAGGTCTCAACTTGCTGGACGCGGATATTAGGGATATACTTTATTAAAACGGGCTAACAACAGCAACAATGAAATTCTCAATCGTACCACGAAGAAGGCGATGTAGCTCAGAAAACAACACCGGTAGGACCTGATATTAAAAATAAGACTTTTGCCGGCGAAGCCAGTTGGCAAAACATCTTGGCTGTCAACAACAAGCTTTCGAATACATGACTAGTTTGGCTGTTCTTTCGGCGTTGTGTGTCCAAAATTCGTCCAAGATTTTGATAAAGCCCTTTCAAAATACTGTTTGTTTGATTTATTTTCTGCCATAAAGCATAAAAGAAAAAGAAATTCGAAGAAATCGATAATGGAATTTGTACGTGCGTTTGACCTTTATATTAATTGTCGCCTTGACCGAGCTATTTTTAAAACTGTTGTTTATGTAAACTTGCAACCAATCAAAATCCTTCATGATGCTGATCAACCAATCAGATTTCCCGTCCACCAGGTGGACGGGAATCTCACACTTTAGATAGGTTTTGTGTCAGGCCCTATTCTGTGATTAGGGCCTGAACTTCAGGTTAATGTTATGCGGAAGATAGAACCATGACTAGAACTTTGAACTTTTGTTTCACGTCATTACTGATTTTACTGTTCACGCGTTTAAAGAGATTAAATTTCAGACAATAAATTTTAGTTCAATGCTACATGTTCAGGTTATCATTAGTGACCATTAGTCTACTACGGTTTGATCGGAGTTTCTGTAATGGCAAGATTGATCGAATCGTTCAGACGTTTAGTATCTTGGCAGGCTCGTCACAAAGCTGTAGCTTACCAATTTTGTAATTGTGCATCACAGAGGTGTTGCACGCCCATCTCGCTTATCTCGTCACACGAAAAATCCGGCAAAATAGCTACGTTTCATGCTGATTATCGCCTATCGCATGCAGTCTTGCTCCATGCCGTCACATTACATTTCCATTCTCTAATGCATCGGATAGGATTTTAACACCACGATCTTTTATTTCATTGTTACCCGCTGATAAATGTACCAGTTTACAGCTATTCTCATCCGTAAGACCATCGTACCAAAGATCTAAGTTTTTAATTTTCAATTTTTACACTGTCAAACCATCACGTCGTGTATAATGGCTCAATAGCATGAGGTTATTTCGTCGACGAGCTAGAGTCGACATTTCCCTACTTTTCATATCACTTTCTACCATTTAAATCGAGAAGTTTATATAAATGTACAATTCTGCAAGTGCCCTACGGAGTTTCCTTAATGGCAAGATTGATCGAATCGTTAAGACGTTTAGTATCTTGGCATATGATCACAATGGCGGAATGTTGTGTCCTTAATAGCTCTGATGGCTATGCGAACAAGTCGTTCGACTGCGATTTGGATGAAATTTTGTGTTATATAAAAAACGAGAATTGCTTTGCCTATGATAGAAAGCGTGTTGGATGGTTAGATAGTTGGTTGTCACCCGGCGGAAAGTATAAGAAGTTCACAAGTTCTAATTCAGACTTGATCTTTACATGGAACTATGAGCTGGGTACTCTGTCATTTAAAGGTGAAACGGGGTGATTTATAAACGTTTCAAATTTAATTAACTCGGTGCAAATTTAATTAACTCGATGCTGGAAACGATTGTTAAGATTGGCCTCGATTTTATTATGCCCTTGCAAACAAGGACTGTTATATCAAATGAGCCGGTGCGGATCACTTCCTCTTTGAAAGACCTTATAGGAAAACGACAAAAAGCTTTGAATAGTGGAAGTTTTCAAGAATTCAAACGGCTCCGTAATTGCGTGAATCGGGAGCGGAAAAAATGTCGTTCTAAATATTAAGAAGCGAAGGTCAAACATCTAAAAAGTTGCAAATCATCCAACTGGTGGAGAGAAGTCATGAAATTGAGTGGAATGAACTCAGCTTTCAATTCCAAAAATGAGGTGTATAAGTCGCTAGAAAATCTAAATGAGAAGGCTACTAGTACCAAACATCTTGGGACCTCTATTGTTCTTAATATACATAAATGATTTGCCTAATTGTCTCGACAGAGCCTCTCCAAGAATGTTTGCTGACGACACTAATATTACTAGCATCGCAGCAAATTCCGTCACGGAGCTTGAGCAAATAATAAACTCCGAATTGAAAAATCTTCATCAGTGGCTACTAGCTAATAGACTGAGTCTTAACGTAGCTAAAACGGAATTCATGATAATAGGATCTCGTCAAAGATTACTAGTACATGATAACGAACACATAAGGATAGAAATCGACGGAAAGACTATTAGGAGAGTCAACGAAACGAAATCCTTAGGCTTGCAAATCGATGAGCATCTTACATGGGCACGACATGTCGAAAATATTTCCAAAAAGATTGCATCAGCTATTGGAGCTCTTAAACGGATACGCCAATTTATAGATACAAACACTGCTCTGAAAATTTATGGAGCATTAATTCAACCGCACTTTGATTATTGTAGCTCAGTTTGGGATGGTTTGAATTTCACGTTAAATGACAAATTGCAAAAATTGCAAAATAGGGCAGCGAGGGTCATCACTAAATCTCAATATGATGCTAGTTCCAGAGACCTTTTTAGTAAGCTGGGCTGGGATAATCTTTTAACACGTCGGAAAAAGCATAAGGCTATACTAATGTTTAAAACAATTAACGATCTAACTCCGTTCTATCTCCATGAATTGTTTGAATCTCGCAGCACAGGATATAACTTAAGAAACTCTGAACACACCTTATTTGTACCAAAACCAAGAACGAACTACGGTAAGCGAAGTTTCAGTTATAGCGGGGCAGTTTTTTGGAACGAGTTACCCCAAAATGTTCGAACAACATGCTCCCTAAGTCAATTCAAAAGAGCAATTGACAATCTGTTTTCTATATGAGATGGATTCCCGCACGGCAATCGTGTAAATCAGTATTTTAGTGACTGTTTGGATAAGTGTATATTAATTGTCATAGCGTAATTGTAATTATATGTTAGTGAATTATCTTGTAAAATATTATACTGTAGATTTCACCGTATTTAAATAAAGTTTTTGATTGATTGATTGATTGATTGATTGATTGATTGATTGATTGATTGATTGATTGATTGATTGATTGACATCTTGCCAATATTATCAATGGAATTTTTCTTTCTCCCATGAATGACTTCTCCCCTTTAGCGAGTGACTTTTTCGCTTGTACTGATTTCGGCAGCGATGAACCTGCTTTTACGGTTACGGAGCAGGAAGTTTTTATGGAATTGTCAAAAGTGAATCCAGCCAAGGCCAATGATCCAGATGGGATACCCAGCTGGGTTCTGAAGGAAAATGCTGATATACTGGCCGATCCTGTAAAAGAGATTTTGAATCTTTCGTATAGAGATAGCTATCTTCCGCAGTCTTGGAAAGAAGCGGATATTCTCCCTCTTCCAAAGCTGAAACCTGTAAAAGACGTGAATAAGCACGCACCTACGCCCCATTTCATTGACATCTGTTGTATCAAAGGTGGCGGAGGATTTCGTTGTCGACAATTTTGTTAAACCTGCTGTCCTTAGAAAGATTGACAGAAATCAATTTGGAACGATTCCCAAATCATCAACGACTCATGCACTAATAAGCATGATACATAAGTGAGGGTCCTGAAGGGGGGTCGTATTCCCATTTCCCAGTCCAAATTTTAACTAAATCCCATTGTCCCAGAGCACAAATCCCATCATCTTAGTGGCTGTCCTGCTCAAATATTAATCCCATTCCCATTTTCTATTGTTTTTTTTGCTGATGAATCACAGTCCCAGTGCATGAAATCCCATTTTCCCACCCAAAAATAAGCAAATCCCAGTTCCCATTTTACCCCTTCAGGACTCTCATAAGTGGAAAAAACAAACGGACGGAACCGGTTCCATGGTGGCCGGACATTTTGGCGAAAGGCATTTTGCCGAAAGACACTTTGCCGAACGGACATTTTGCCGACGGACGTTTTGCCGAACGGACGTTTTGCCGAACGAACGTTTTGCCGAACGGACAATTTGCCGAACGGACATTTTGCCGAACGGACAGTTTGACGAGCGGACAACTTGCCGAAAATAGAGATATCTTCTGAACTTTAAAGGTTCGCTTATTAGCAATGCATAATGGTCATTAGCAGTGCATGTGTCGTTACCAGTGCAGCAGCGGATGACCCATTTGTTAGGAACGTGTTTTGACGTCACATCGTAAACAAGCAAGCGTATATAAAGACAACGACGTAAGCGAGTTTCACTTGGAGAATCATTGAATACATTCACAGTTCTCGGGGAAGTCGCATTCATGAATGATGTTGAATGATGTTATTCTAATATATATATTGCGAAATTTCGGTAAACTTGTCAAAATCTTGAAAGAATATAAAACGAAACTATAGTTCGCTATCAAAGTTTCTGTCATCAAAATCGACAATGACTTTAATCGAGTCACAGAAACTTTGACCTTGTACCATATAATGTTTATTTTACACAATAGTTGAGAATTACAAAGTTGAGAAATGAGGCACAGTCCCAAACTTTTTGACGAAATAACATCTGTATCTTCGGCAAGTTGTCCTTTCGGCAAAATGTCCATTCGGCAAAACGTCCGTTCGGCAAAACGTCCGTCGGCAAAATGTCCGTTCGGCAAAATGTCTTTCGGCAAAATGTCTTTCGGCAAAGTGCCTTTCGGCAAAATGTCCGGGTACTGGTTCCATGATGCGGGTCGTTCTTTTTTATTTCAACTGAAAAAGCCTTTGACTTAATTGATCATGGTATTCTCGTAGACAAGCTTACTACCTTCGAAATACCAAAGCAAATCATTGGGTGCATCGTTAATTTTCTCAAAGACCGTAAACAGCGCGTCAAGTTAAGCTAAGATTGTTATTCTGAATGGGGTGTCGAAAACTGTCGTAATTTAGATTTATTTATGTTCACGCGTGGGACGCGCGAGTCCAAACTTTAGACACTTCGGAAAGTTCCGGATTATACCGGTGGTTGTTGTTTTTTCAGGAGGGAACTTAAAAACATGTGGCTGTGAAACTGTGAAATTTGTGATTTTGTAATAGATATTATACTGTGATTTGTTGTGATTTATTTTGGGCGATACTTGGAGGCAATCCCCAACATAGTGGAACCTACCGACGGGATTTTAGATAAGATAAGATAAGATGATGTTTAATAGCACAAATTCGCACATAAAGTGAAGTACAAAGTGCTTACATTAAAATACTATAATAATATAAGATTATTTACAATGGTTGTTAGGACAAAGTTAAAATCAAGTCTCACCAGTCACTGTTTACTATTAGCAATATTAATTGTATTTGGGAAAAAGCTATTTTTAAACCGATCAGTTCGACATTCAGTATAAGTTGATAAATTATTTAATGATCTAATAAAATAATTATGCTCGTTCGATCTAGTCTGGGTCACGTGTTGTGTAAGCGGACCACCTCTGGTTATCTTCGTGAGTGTCTTCAAAGTCTCCAATTTGGTGATACGAGCCGACAGCAACGCATCTTTATAAGTTTGTTCAGGGTATACAATACGCAAGGCTCGCTTTTGGATTTTTTCAAGTTTGTCAGATAAATAGCATGAGATAGAGTTGTGCCAAACTTCACAAGAGTATTCAAGGATTGAGCGTATTAACGCAATATACACGTGAGAAGGTCTGCAGGAGGAATACCACTTCGGCGCAATACCCGGAGGATATGCAATCGTTTGGATGCCTTCGAGACTATTTCATGGATATGTTCATCCCATTTCAGGTTGTTTTGGATCGTAAGTCCCAGTACTTTATGTGAACGCACTGTCTCAATTGGGTGTCCATCGATTAACAGAGGCATTAATTGGGGGGTTTCTCCAAGAAAACTAACACGAAGCTCTTTGCATTTTTTTATATTAAGTTTCATCCAATTATCGGAAGCCCACAACTGAACTGAATTAAGGGTTGATTGAGTGATAGAAGTGCAATTTCTGCTAAGACTCTCAGAGGTTGAAACGTCGTCTACGTATTTCCACATTCCAGTGTCGGGAGAAGTGATTCGCAGGTTATTGACCATTATTAGGAACAAGATTGGACCTAGTTTTGTCCCCTGAGGAACACCTGCATTCACTGGAAGCCAGTCAGAGGTTGCTCCGTCAAATTTAACACGCTGCCTTCGATTTGAGAGGAAGTTGATGATCCAAGGGATTAATGAGCGTCTAGCACCCAAATTTATCAGTTTCTCAATTAATAGATTATAACCTATGCGGTCGAAGGCCTTGGAGAAGTCTAGGAAACAAATACGCAGATGATTACCGAGTCCGTCAAGGTGGGAAAGCCAAGTATGTAACATGTCCAGAAGGCAAAAAGTGGTGGATGTCCCTTTCAGGCAACCAAATTGGCTGGGGTCGATTTTTTCTTTTACATCCTCAATCAGCCAAGATACTATAAATCCTCTAAAACTTTAGACAAGCACGATGTTAGTGATATAGGCCTAGTGTCGGCTTCAGCAATCGGTTTACATGTTTTAGGGATTGGGACTATGTTCGATTCCTTCCAACTACTCGGCACAACTCCTGAAGCAAGGGATGTATTAAAAATAATGGTGATCGGCTCAGCTAGCACGTGAGAATACTCCTTTAAAATTCGAGGTGAAATATTGTCAGGTCCGGGGGCTGTGTTTTGGTACAATCCAAAGCAGTTATATCGAGATTTTGTTGTGATTTGTGACAAGCGTGGCCGTGAAATATTATATCGAATATGTCTAAGATTGTTGACAAAAAGCTATTAGAATTAACTGGGAAAACTGAAAAGCATTGAACTTTGCGATCAAAAAGTCTGACGAAGTTATTGATTCTACTAAAACTGAGGTTTTAACGCGACAAATTAGTTCAATAACCAACCGAATTCAAGCTATACATGCCTTAAACGAGGAAATAGAGGAGATCAAATTTACTGAGAACGATTCTGAGGAAAATATACGAAACTGGGCTGAGGAAATCGAGTCGAAAATTAGCGAAGCAGATAACAAAGTAAGTGAAATACACCAGCGTTTGAATGAGATTAAAGAAACAGAGAGAGCAGAAGCCGAAGAAAACGAATGCGTTGCCATAGATATCAAAAGACAAAAACAACTTGAATTTGAGAAACGAGAAACAAAAGTTCGAGCTAGAACAAGCAGCGAAGGATGAAGAACGAAAGCGGGAATTGAAGCACAAAACTTAACTGTTGAATAAACAATTGGAATATCAAAAATCAATCGAGACATCAGCGAAAGAACAAGAAAAATCAACGTCTATTAAATTACCCAAATTACCCGTGACAAAATTTAATGGAAATTTTGAAAATTGGCTCCCGTTTTGGAATATATTCGAGGCAGAAATCGATAAATCTGACGTGCCTTCCGTGACCAAATTTGCGTTTTTGAAAGAATGGTTAGAGCCGAAAGTTAGAGCAGAAATAGAAGGATTACCATTTACCTCAGAAGGATATCAAAGAGTGAAAAACATACTTAAAAATGAATATGGGAAAACAAGCGAGATAGTGAACACTCACGTTCAAAACATAATGGGATTACCTGTTATTACAGACTCTAATCCTGCCAAAGTGAATGATTTTTACAAGAGCCTGTTATACAACACGCAAGCGCTGGAAACTCTGGGCAAGTTAGACCGCAAAGTAAGCGGTATGACAAGGAGTGTATTGGAGAAACTCAAAGGAATTAAAATAGATCTGGTGAGAGGAAATGAGGGCTGGCAAGATTGGGACCTTGCACGCCTTATCGTGGAGCTAAAGAAATGGAGAGACATTAATCCAGTTGATGAAAGCGGAAATACCAAGAAACAACGTAAGTCTGGATTTTATTATGTAAAGGACGGTGATCGTCGTAAACGAGCATGCGTTTATTGTGATACTGAAACCCACAACTCTAAGGATTGCTTGACTGTAACTGACATCGATCAACGAAAGAAACTACTGGCAGAAAAGAAACTTTGCCTTAATTGTACCGGAACTAAACATCGAGCAACAGACTGCAAGAGTGTTCACAAATGTTCGAAATGTAATATGAAGCATCGCTCATCAATATGTACAAAGAAGGATCAGCTTTTAACCGCGAGCGGATCGAATGGGGGTCCGTTAGTGTATCCAGTTGTAGTAGTAAGTGTCGAGGGTATAAAGTGTCGTGCGCTGTTAGATACCGGTTCAGGGAATTCCTACGCTTCAGCTGCCTTGTTGGATTTGCTGCCGAAACGAACTCGTAAAAAGGAAGTGAGACGTGTTGAGATGATGCTTGGCTCAGTAATGAAGGAAATGGAACAGTCAACTGTGCGTGTAGAGGCAGTGAATGGAGAATTTGCAATGGATATCAGTGTTACGAAAGTCGACAAAGGAGAAGTGCTATATGTGGACAATCCAAACTATACAACACTGATAAATTCCTATCAACATCTCGAGGGTGTCCAAATGGAAGACAAAGATCAGAAACCAAAGCTACCTGTTCATTTAATTCTGGGAGCAGGTGATTACATGTGTATCAAAACCAACGAAAAACCTCGGGTTGGTAAGATAAGTGAGCCGGTCGCCGAAAGAACCAAGTTTGGCTGGACCATATTAGCTCAGGGCAAGGAGCTTGACTACTCTGCTATGTTTCTCACGCAGACGAGCCAATGCGACTATGAAGAACTGTGTCGGATGGACGTTCT